TGGTCTAGTGGAAGGTGTCCCTGCCCATGGCAGGGGGGTTGGAACTAAGTGATCTTTAAGGGCCCTTCCAACGCAACCATTCTGTGATTCTATGATCTTCTGCCTGTTGGGACCGTATCGTTAATCCCACAACATAGACAAGGAGCAGAGAGATTTCCCTTCATAATACATGTGCAGAGCACCTAGTGTGAAGGGGCAACCAAAGAAGCTTCCAAATAACAAGAGCTGTAGGCTAAAACCTCATTACTGTCCGTTAAATGTGCAGCTTTAGATAAAAGCTTAATAAGTATTTATTAATGTAACTATCAAAATTAGGCATCACACAACCCAAAACAAAGTGAGTCAATAATTAAACCAGCATGGATCTGCCAAGCATTAATTATATATGGAGGGAGAGATGGGACAGGAGAAAAATAATCCACATGTAACCTTCCTGATAAACCATTAAAAGAAAACTCAAAGAAATACAGAGATTTGGTTAAAAAATACTGTTTGTAACAGAAAGCATCAAAACACATTATTCTGGAACAAAGTTATAGTTCAGGCCTAAAGCGAGTTTTTGAGATCAGAGTTTAGCTATGATTGAGACAAAAAAAAATTATACAGCTTTTTTTGTTAAAAGGTTGGTGCATTTTTGTTGTTGTTGATTGTGTGGGGTTTGGGGGTGTTGTTGTATTGTTTTGGTTTTTTACATTAAACTAAAGATAATTTTTCCCCCAGATTCCCCATCCACCACATGCTTAAAGTTTGTAGGAACTGTTGCAACTTTTTTTTATTTTGTGCATTCCTTAAAAATTTGGAATTGCAGTCCCACTTGTCCCAGGAATTCCATGGAGGTCCAAGGTCCTCCTGGGATCTTTGGTTCCTAGCAGCTGGCTGTGGCAGAGTTTGGCTCCCAGAAATCTGAATAAGACAGAGCCCACGTGCACACCCACATCTGCCAAAAGTAAAGACATGCCACATTCTCCCCTCTTCTGCTACCCATGACTTTACAGCTCCCCCCAGGATAGGGGAAGGATTTTTTTTTCCCATCACCTGCATGTCCACCTTGGTGATAAAACCCTTCTCGTCCTTGTCACACAGCTGGAAGAGCTCCCTTGCCTTCTCAAGCATCTCCACCTGCACATCTTCCAGTTTGCTCACTTGGCTGGAAGGAGAAGCACCAGGAGTCACTCCATTCTCCTCATCCCCTTCCTCTTCTCCTTCCCAATGGACGTATCCCAAGAGTGCTCTCCTCTGGTTCTCCATCTTCTCAAAGTCTTTTCCCCCAGGGCCAGGGCAAACAGAAAGCTGCGAGGCAGGAAAAGAGAAACCTCGGTCAAACATGACCCTCCACTTCTACCCCACATATCATCTACTTGCATGCCTTGTTGGTTTGAAAGAACAATATTCAGCATCCGTATCTGGACCAGATGACCTTTAAAGGTCCTTTCCAACCCCAACTCTTCTATGATCTGTTACTGAGGGGAGAGGAAGAAGGGAGGGAGTTTGTATCAGAGGTACACACCACACATAGGTACATACTGTACACAACGTGGGTGTAACCGAGCCTACCATACAGCCGTAACCCTCCACATTGTGATGGGCTCCAGATCCTGCACCCGAGCGAGGATGCTCTTTCGCCATCTCTCTGCCTCTGGCTCAGACCTACAGGGCAGTCAGAGTTCTCTGCTGGTGAAAGTAAGGTGCCAAGGGAAGGTTTCAGCAGAGACGAGAGGATGGGAAAGGAATATTAAAGCGGGCAGGTTAAATCTGCACGGGAGCATGGTGATAGTCCCACATTAGCTGAGACAGAGGGCTCAAACACTGCGATCAGGGCCAGCTCCTGGCTCCTGCACAGCTCCCTGGATGCCCTGACCAGGATGCTTCTCTCTGGTCTGGGTTCCTCTGGTAATAACATGTGCTGTTCCTCCTCCTGTTGCTTTTCTGCACCACCTTTAAACATCAAACCTGCATCACAACTGCAAGAGCAGGACAAAGGCAGATAGGAGGAAGATCTGTGCAAGTGACGGAGGAAAGAGAAGAAGGAATGTTTGTCCCAGCCCTCTCCCACCCAGGTCCCCTTCCACCTCTGACATTTTCTTGTTCCCAAATAGTAACTCCATCTCCTTTCATGTTATTAGAGCACAAAGAAAGGTCAGACAATTCCTACACTGGGAAAAATTTTATAAGCTGGGCACTCCTGCCCCCCTTGCCTTCCAGCCTCTGTTTTGAGAGCTCATATGCTGCCAAACAGAATTTTAATCTGAAATGTTCACCTTTTTAGGAAGGAAACCACATGACTATGGAGACATTTCAGAGGCCAAAGAAAATAATAGCCGTTACTTACAAGTACCTAAACCAAAAGGCTGGGAATGAGAGCACCCCTTTAAGCACAGCCCTGTGATTGTAAAGATGCGTACAACATATCCCTACCCCAATCCACCTTCCAACTTACTGATGCCACGTAACACCCTCAGAGAGCTTTTCTTCAGCAACACCACCACATTTTTTTAAGCCTTGTTGCACTGATTGCTTTAGACTTCTCCTTCGGCAGATCTGGGTGCTGCATTGCAGGGCAGAAGCGAGCTGTGCAAGCAGGCTGAGAGCAGATTTAAACAGTGGTAGACGGAGAGGGCTTGAGGGTGCGGGTTTGTTTTTTTTTAAATCTCCAAGAAATTAAAAGTCACATACAGATGCCATGATAACAAACAAATTAATTCTGTTTGCACACTTAGTGCAATGGAAGGATAAAGTGCATGATGGCCAGAAGAATGTCACATGCGAGAATTATATGAAGCTGACACAAAAGAAGGCAGTTACGTACCACACTATTTGACTCTGTTTGTTACTGCTGGTTCACAAGCCAGAGGGTGGTTCTGCTTCAAAGAACAAGCAGAACGCTTCGCTCCCCCTTTCAAATCAGTGTTTTTTCAGGGCACCTCCATTTAGTGTCACTTGAGAAGATATTTATTTGAAACTCTGCAGAAGATGACCTATAAATGGGTACTATTATATGTTTCTAGTCAAGCAGACATCTCTGGCAAGCAATGGACACAGAGCTGGACCCAAGCTTTGGGGAATACTGCAGAGAAAAGGAGGGAAGAAAGCATGAAAACTGAGAAGACAGGGGATGTCTTTCTATCTTGCTCTTTTTCAAACAAACCCTCCTACCTTACGGAGCCAACACAGCAAAATTTGGAAACTAAAGCTTGATTCTATCCATTAGCTGGACAGTCACCTTGCTTCTGATGGCAAGCCTGTACATGTTGGTAGTAAAGTAGTCAGAAAGAACCCCAGCTTACTTTTCACATTCAAGTAAAAGTCACAAAGATGGCCTTGAAAGAAAAAAAGAAAAGAAGACCCAAATATCTTATGCTGCAAAGATTATACAGGTGATTATGGTGAGGAATCACATAGCCATGCTGATGAATGATCATTATTGGCTGCTACAGGCCACCACCTTGCTCAAGCTTTTTGCCTGACCTGTTCCTTCGTGAAGATGCAGTCTCAGCACAAGCAGCACCCTGTACCAGACGGTGAGCGCAGGCGGCAGCAGGGGAATAAACAAAACGGGAGTTCCAAGCAAGAGCCACCACAGGATTGCGGAAAACAGCCAGAATAAGAAAAAGCACAAATAAGAAATATGTTTTCTGAAACATCTCTCTAGCTGCTTAAGAGATGCTGAGGTCCCCAGAAGTATAGATCTTACTTTCTTATTACCAGCTCCATCATTTCTATTTCAAAAGCCAGAGCAGCCCACGCAGACAATGTCTCCCCAGCTCTGTTGCAGCAAACAAAAGGTTGTACGAGCAGGATGCTCTGTTCTCACTCCAAGACATATTTCCAAGCTGTAATTGGACCCATTACATCCCTACCTCTAGCATCTCCTCATTTTATCAATAGCCCAGCTGTACTGTAGCTCCCAAACACTGGTTGAGCTAAAAGCCTCTTAATTAGAAGAGCTGGGAGCCTGACACGGACAAGAGTCTGAAAGGATTTCACTCACATGTAAAAGACCAAGTCCATTAATTCAATGTTCAGAGCGCAGAGTCTCTTGTTCAAGCTGCTTCAAGTGGCTTCAAGCCAGATGTGGCTCTTCCAATGGCGAGACAGCACTTATAGAGGAACAAAGCGGCAAATAAGAGAGAGGCTCAGTAAGCAGCTCTGATGGACTTCTCTCCCAGAGGCCTTTGGCTGAGAAACTCTTAATCTCCATCCCTGTTTGTAAGGGTGTTGCATGGTATAAATGCAGATGAGGCACAAAGCAGATCTCTGTCTTAACAAGTGCTGTCATACCTTCCCCAGGTACAGATCATCACTGCAAACTGCTGGGGAAGCAGCTTCATCAGCAAGATGCAGAACATCACTGAAGGATAACTTTGAAAGAGGCTGAGGTCACTAGAGTACTAAAACTGTGGTCTGGTACCCAAAAGCGAGGACAGCAGAGCTGGCCTGGGTGCAGAAAGATCAGCCTGGCAAAAGCCACGCTTGTCTGACACAAGTGGAAAAGGCAGAGAAGATGGGTACGGGCAGCTAATGCTTTTGGTCAGGCAAACCTGCCAGGCTCCCCCAGCGAGACGTAGCCAAGCCATCTCCAGTGACAAAGCCAGGGGTTCTCATCGAAACTTCCTGGTCTCTTCTGGCAGGACAAGGTAGTCATTGAGTCAGCACCAGTTAAGAATGAATTTGCACACCTAGCCTGGAGTCAGGACAATCGCTTTATTTGGTGCTGTTGATTTCCATCACATCCGCAATGGGTCATGGCAGAGTTCGTCTAGCCCAGCATCCTGCCCTGGATGGTGGCTGTGAGTGGCTGGTGAGGGAAGAGTCATAGCAGGGCAAGCACAGAGAAGGCTTCCCTGAAGAGATCTGCCAGCTTCTAGCCCATGTCAGCCTCAGGCAACTCCTGAGCCACATGGTTCCTCCCTCATCTTCCAAGACACTTGTCCAGCCTCCCTTTGAATCCATATGAAAACATTCACATGAACATGCCGATAGAAACGGGGTGCCTGCTGCAATCAGTGGGTGCTGACAAAGCTTCACGGGACTATTCGATTTTTCTGGGTATACGGTTTGACCAGCACCCACTCCACAAGAGACAGAGTCCCAGCTTCAGCTCAAACAAGTGTTTCCTTGCCACCTTCACATCTGAGAACCGTGGCAGAGACCAAAAACTCTTCTCCCAGGGCCTACCAGGTAGATGGAAGTGCCAGGGACATGGGGGCACGAACGGGCTCCAATGGCCCTGGCCAGCCTCAGTGTGTAATGTCCTTCTGCAGCCTCCTCTTCACCCACCCCAGGGGTTTGGCTGCCTATGCTCAAGGTCAGCTCTGATATTGCATAGTCCAGTTTTGGGCAGTGTCCAACAACCTGATACAGAGCTCGAGAGAAAGCCAGTCTTCAGGACCCGTGGATTACACCAGTTATCTCCTGCCATGGTGTGTGCTGGGGCCCAGAAAGCAAAAATTCACTTGTTCCTGCAAGACAACTTTCCCAGAGCCTGGAAAACAAACACAGATCTTCTCAGACACAGCACAGAACAGGAAATACGACTGCCAGTAAAGACAGCTAACACCATGTCTTGTATTTCTACACAGAGTTAACTCAGACCAGTCTTACGGGCATATTTTAACACCACCTGAGGCATAAAGTGCAGTTTGTCCTGTGCCAAGCTGTGCCAGAAAGTCAGCTGGATCCCATGGGCATGGCATTCTTTGGGGAAATCATAAGACCTGAATTTTAATCCTGAGTCAGCTTGCTGTATGGCCCTGGGTAAGTCATGTCACCTGCCTATGCTTATAGACTGTCAGCTCCTCCAATTTGGTTCTGATGCTTGTGACAGCTGGCACTTTATTTTAAGACTCAGTTCCTGGAGACTGATAATTACATGTGAAACTCAAGCATCAAAATAGTTTCAAAGCATTGAAGCTGAAGAATGACAAACTTGAACACAGAACTTGACGAAACTGCAAATTTCAACAAACAGAACAGACCCAAGGTGCTTTTCCTGGAAAGGGCAGATACTGCTTTCAAGGTAGCGTTACAGGGTCATGGTTTCCATTTATTGTCTCAGAAAGCTTGTTGTAACAGTGAGCAGTTTTAAAGAGGTAAAGAAAAGTCATGGCTAAAATTCTATCGACAGCCAAGCCCTTATCTACATGACCGTGACCATTGTGTGCACATGACAACTTTGGGGTTTGTTTTATTTTCCACAGCCCGATGACAAGGAGGAAAGGAAAGTGGGGAGTGCAGCCAAATTTTCCGCAGCTGGTCCTTAGATGACCGCAGTCACCGCAAGGCATTGTCCA